CTGCTCACCTGCGACCGTAGATCGGTTTTACGTTCACTCATCATCTCTGACGTGAGGTACTCGTTGAGCTGAAAGTCAAATTTTAAATCTCTTGTCAGCGAAAAAAAATCACCCTGAACTTGATTCACACACCATTCGGTCCCATGTTGAAAGTGTTAGTTGACAGTAATCGATTCGCCCAACTTCACGTATAACGTTCGCATATTGTTGAAATCGTGAACAACTTCCATTGATCACGGCCATTAATTTGAGGAGTTCCTTGCAGGGATCTTCATCTTGCACAGATTCAATAGTCTCATCGAAGAAGTCCTCAGCACTTTTCTAAAAAGGAAAATTTTCCATCTAACAATAGACAAAGGGTAGCACACAGGGTACAGCATCGTTGGGTGAATGCCATTAAGAAAAGTGAGGGTCCCTAATCAGGGCGATCCCCAGCAACTGTTGACGTATTTGTTCACCAGAGGGATGAGATTGCAACTGCCCTTGAGTTGGGTTCTCCCGGTTTTCCCATTTCTTGTTCGCTATATACCCCGTACCACTCACCAATCCCCCTCCCACTTGGCGGTTCCATGGGAAAAATGGAGAACTTCTCAAGAAACTCAAGTGCAGTGATAGGAAGTTGGGAACATTTAGGAAGATGGTGAGTAGCATGGGGGTATATGATAGGTGGGTTGTACCAGAGGCGGAAATTCCAAGGGATGGAGTCATATTTTGCAGAAATTTCCCCGACTGCAGGACGTGCCCTGGTCGTACATAGCTTAGCGCTGGGAGGGGAGGGGTGCTGAAATTGCATGAGAAAAGTTTCCCAAGCCGTGACAATGCTTTCCCGACTGTTGACTTTTCTCGGTTTTCCTCGTTTTATATGCGCTTCATCCTCCTCCTCGACAGCCGTTTTTTGGACGGAAAGAATTTTAAATTGCTAGGGAGATGGACAATTTGGGAAGAATTGCAGGCAGTATGGGAGGCATAAGGAAAATCTGGGGGGGGGGGGGGGATCGTACTGGGCACACTACTTTACACATCACAATGCTGTACCCTAGTATCACGTCCTAATAACATACAATTATGAGAGAGTCCCGCAACGCTCGCATACATCTGAAAGAAGTTTGTGGTGAGGGCGTCTCTATATCATTCCATCGCTTTTCTATACCAGTTATTTTATTCGCATTTCAAATTTCAAATGAAATACGTGTATAGTTTGTAACATCGCAATCGGTCCGGGGCTGTGTGAGGGAGGGGATGAGCCCCCTCCGGCTGCTTTCGTCTACCAATGGTGGTCGGCTGGTGATCGATCCAGGAAGAAAACAACCAGTGGTGGAAGCTCTGCAGGGGGATCAAGCCATCCCTCCCGGAAAAGACCCGGCTGACTGCGATGGTATATGGTACGCTATGACTGCGCATGTATGTCACACAGTAAAAAAAATGTGTCAAACCTTCAATTATTCATTATTGAAACAAACACTGAAGGTATGCAAGCGAGTACGCAGACCTGACTTACTTACTACCTGAGAGTTCTATTACTTACTGTGTGCCCCACTAAGCGGTCGACACGAATATCGATCAACTCGCAGCAGCGCTCACCTAAGCGGTTTTTATGGGAGTATCGGGTGCAGACGTTCTTATGGTCATGATCCCTGCCAAAGGGTAAGGCGTGTGAAGGAGCTTGAGTGTGATCTCAACTTAAACAGCCCTTCCCGTCAATTGTTGTGGACTTAGGATAGCATCATTGATGGGAAGGCCACCTTCTCAGCGCTCCAATTTGTGCCCTGTCCCACGCCCTACCGTTTGCAGGGATCATAATGATCATCATCACAATGCATACGTTTCGGCAAGGAGCCAGCCTGTGTCCATCAATAGTGCCCATCCTACGGAACAATGACTGGTGGAAACGAGCTGGCGCCGGGCCAAAGCCTACGTGCGCAGAAACGCCCCCACATGACGAACTGATAGCGATTGCAAATTTTCTAAGAGAGACACGACATTAAAAATTCCCTTAGTTCACGGGAAGAACAAGCAAAACAAGGTAAACCAGTAAAAGAGCACCTACCTGACCAAACTGGCAAACTCCTCGGCAGCGTTTCTTTTTGATGGATGAAACCGTTTACGGTGTTCAGCAAAAGACCGCTTACAGTAGGTATCAAATGCGGAAAACGATGCTGTCAGCATGTCTTCCTCAGCCTGAACAGAAGTTCTAACATTTACTACAAAACACAGTGTAATAGAAAGTTGTAAATGTGATATACTCACCTTATCCAATGTCATTGGGTGCCATTTATCTTGTATATTTTGAAGTGTTTTGGCAAGTAGCGAAAATGAGATATCAATGGGTATCATGGAATGAAAGGCAAGCCAACGGCTGGAATGATAATTTTGACAAAAATGATCGAAAGGGCAGTTGATATCGTCGCAATCTTTCTGGGCGGTGTCAGAAGCAGGACACGCCATCGCGTTGTGATTCCCCTAATTCCATCCTCAGATAAGACCCCGCCCCCTCCCATGCTACCTACCAATTTCCTAGATTTTCCCAACTTCCTACCACTTTTTCCATTTTTTCCCGAAAAATTTCTGGTTTTTCCCCAAAATTTTGCTGTCGAGCGGGGGGGGGGGGGGGAGGTCGTCAGGATTTGACTCTGACTCTCATTCTCAGCTGTTGGAAATAGTAGGGGAATTAGTAGTTGTATAGATCCTTGGCAGTCCCCCAACCTCTAAATACGACCCCTCTCCCCTCTCCCCTTTATAGCGTCCGTGAAATAAGAGAAATCAGCTACCAAAAAAATTTCTCAGACCAAATACGCGCCACCCCTTCCCTCGCGGTTAAATGCGACCCCCCGTTGTGATCATCACAACGATGGCGTCCCAGGTCAGAAGGGATGGAATGAGTCAACCGCGACATTTTCTACCATTGGTTGCTTTCGTCTTGACCCATTACTAGCCAACCATTATTGGCTCTGGAACCCAGCCGGAGGCGGGCTTCCACCCCTCCTGATACCGCCCGACTAACTGCGACGATATGGACTACAATACACTTTAACAACAGCAACTATTTGCATGAAACAACACATGGCTACTCGTAGACCAGGTAATTTCGTCAAATCTAAATGCTACTTACTACTAGCCTTAATGATGGGTCATTTATCAAAATTAAATAAAAAAAATGAAGACTTACCACATAGCTGTATGAACTTCAGTGAGATCACCCTGTAGAGCATGCTGTCGGAGTATAGTATTTGCTTTATCTGGAAACACACCATCCCATAGCCGAACGGGAGCCTGAATAGTAATCGGTTGAGTAGATCAAACAAAGAAAAACAAGATCCATAAATAGAAGCAACAAAAACAAGTTGGTGCTAAACTCATTATTCCTCAATGGTTGAAAGAGGTTCTCAAGAGGCTGATTTTTTTTCTGACCCAAGCTTACTTTCGCGGATAGTCGGCATTCAACAATGCTGTACATCCACAAGTAAAATTGTAAATGTACCATAAGGTACTAGTAAAGAATAAAAGGCTGTAATGACGAAGTCAGAACTCACACCACTAAGGCGAATTTCGTAGAGGGCAAACTGCCGCATAAGTTCAATGTGTTCTTTGACATCGAGAAGGTCGTCCTCTTCAGCTCCGAAACGCTCTTCACGGGTGGAAAGCCACAGCTGAAAAGTCGTACTTCGATTACAGCAGTAAAGACATGAAAGCCTCATCACAGGGTGGCAGTGAAACAGGATAGAAAACATTTATAATATCTTCTCATTTTTCTTGTTCGATTTCGTTTTAATTCAGGCTCAGATTTTCTCAGAAGTACCAACTCATTTTTCTAACTTGAAGACACGTTCTGCGATTATCGCGTGGTAGGAATCCTTCCCTCGTACGCATATCTGATCTAACAACACCCGGTTTGGGGTGTGCAAAAAAGGCGTCAGAGGCTCGCGATTTAATTATAACAGCAACTTGTGCAATTCGCTTGTACCTATAATAACAAAGAGAAATTCACATTCGTTGTATGTGCGGCTATGTGGCCTAAGGCCCGCAGCTACGCTCCACATCCCTGAGACGCAGTAGGCGTGGCTGCGGGCTCCATTTGGACAAGTTGTTCGTTGAATTTTCGACTTAAGACAACTATTAGGTTGTTCGAAAAGTCCTGCGACACTTTGATTAAATTGTTCTAGAAAAAGACCAAAAATCATTTTGAATGTTTTTATCTCTGATTAGTGGAGACTGTCTCCTGAGGTTTCTGAAAATGGGTATATCATGGCTCCGTGGAAGTTTTCAAAGCTTAAAAATACCTCAAAGATCGAGGTACTCCTCGACCTGTCCCATATTATGAGTTCCTGTAGGGCAACTCCCCCATAGTCGAGGAAGCTAACTCTTACGTTGTCTTAAGGAAGGATATCGCTTGCCATAGCAGAGAGTTCCTTTTGCATCAGCGCTTCCAGGCTGGACTTATTCAACTCGGAAGTAGGCAATGTATAGGTCGGCCACCAGCACAGAATGACGGCCCTTTACTCAAGCTTCTTGAGGCGCAGCCGAACGTAACCACCAGTAAGTTGGCAACCTCTCTAGGCTCCACCTAACTGACAACTGCCATGCTTCTCCGCAGTCTCGGTTATCGGAAAAAATTTTTATGAAGGATGCCTCATGAGTTGAACCCCTCTGACAAGTCATACCGAATGACCGTGACTGAGTTTTTTTTTCCTTGTACACACTGGAGGAACATTTGTGAGATCTTGTGGTTGGTAGAGAGTGGTGGGGTCCTTGCGTACATCTTGCACATGTTCCTCGCAGGATCTCTCAAAGAGAAAAGTAGATTGCACAGCCAAAAGCAGATGTGCATGGGATAAAGATTTCAGTAGGTTATTGGTGGGACTTCAAAGCGGTATCTCTGGATACTAGCATAACGGTAAGGACTACAGTCCACTCTAACCAACCTCACAACATGGATGACGTCACGCTTGAATTCTTCAAAAATACTCAATTTTTCTCTACCGCTCGGCAATGCGAAGACCGCATGTTAGGATCAGGCCAGTCTCTAACTACTACCTTTTTGATCCCTACCGCATCCTTAAGAAGGCAAAAATTCCGAAAATCGACGTCTACTCAAAAATGAGGTCCACCTCTTCTTATCATAGTTGCCGTAGTTCTAGAAGAATGGAAATGAGAAGCTGTGCAAAAGAAGGGCACTAGTCCTTAGTGGTGATTACCTTGTAGATTGGAGATGTCTTTTAGTGACTGAAAATTTAGTCCGAAAAATTGGTCAAAGTGTCGCAGGACTTTTCGACCAACCTAATAATTTTGTTCTAGTATTGGACAATGACATGATTACAACCGTCCTAAATGACAAATCTCACCGAACGCAAAGCGGCCGCAACGTCATCCAAATGAAGGGCGCGGCCACGCCTACCGCATTCCAGGGAATTGGAGTATATTTGGTCCCTCGCCGGTTCATTGAGCGGCTCTGCGCCCTTATTCACCTCATCTTTGCCCGACTCTAACGTAAGAGCGAACTAAGTCCCATTTGGGCCGTTTTCGAGGGGTTCCCTTTCTTTCTTCTTCAATGGGATTCCAACGAGCATTTGCAAATTTATTTCTGATACCCACGTCCTAAGACCTGCGATTACGGAAGGTATCTTTAAAGGCAAAACCCGCGATCACTCGCCATCACAGAAAGTGGATTACGAGTTTGGATATAGACGACAAGGTTCCAAGTATCTCAATAATGAAGAAAAAAAGCAGAAGAAAACATGCCAGCTGCCCTAGATAGAACCCCAATCCAGTGCCAGTTCGTATGTGTCCAGTTACCTAAATCTCCAACATACGCTCTTATCCGCAGCCAAGTGAATATTCCCGAATAAGAAGTCTACCACCGTACAAGTGAACAATCTTCATGCGTTTTGGCCTGCAGCTTCATTTTTCACTAAAAGGCGGCCTTGAAGGCGGAGTCTGGGGGCGGAGTCACTGGAAAAAAGGAGTGCCACGACCTGTATTCCACTATAGCGCCCCTTACAATTTTTGACCGCGAAACCGGTACAAGGTTGTTCGGCGCGGACCACACTACCCTCCCTACGCCATATTTTCAACCTCTGTACCTGATCGCGGATCGTGCCTTTAAGTCCGCTTTCCACAGTGTGGAGCGGCTCTATGCAAGCTCTAAAATGAGCATGGGGCTGAAAGTGCTGGTTTCGACCACGTTTGACGAATTTTTCATTTGCATCTCTCGGAAAGTTTTGTCGCGCTGCTCTTCCACTTCCATGTTCGAAGCTTCTCTACCCCTTGTCCTCCTTCTCAAAAGTGAGTAAATAAATGGGGGGGGGGGGTGTGTCCTCAAAGTGGAACGTTTTTATCCCATATTTGACATATCACAAATAATTTGAAATGGAATGCATGGAATTTTGTGACGTCTTCCGAAACGCAATATGAGCAATTAACGCGCGGCAATCCTGAATAGCTTATTCGGCTTAATTGCCCCAATTTAGCGGCAAAGGGAGCGAGGTGATGACGTCATCACTGGCGAGTCTCAGCTGGAGCATTCGCGTGGAAAGGGAGCGAGGTGATGACGTCATCACTGGCGAGTCTCAGCTGGAGCATCTCCGTGCCAAATCCATTGCATTTTACGCTCAGTGTACTTCTTCGATTTTAATGGCAGAAAAAACAGAATGCTAAGAATTTGAGCAGTCGAAGATCTCACAAGGGGGACAGGGTACAGGATCAAACAGGTACTAAAAAAGTACTAAAAAAGGTTCCGAAATTCAACAGTCTTGTTAGACTCTATACGCAGTCTTGTTAGACTCTATACGCAGCCTTGCTGCGTAAGCTGGGACGTGTCATGGTGGTGGGTTTGGCGCTGCGCCAACCCCTTCCACGCCACTTGCTGAAGCGAGCAAGCCACTGCAATCGGTCGAAAATGTTTGGCTGTTCGCGACTGGCGCAGCGCCTAACACTTGACACGCCCCAACATCCGCAGCGAACAAGAGTGTACATGCGGCTGCAGAGCGCAGTCAACTCCGAAAGCAGATTTATCCTAGCTTCGACTACCTGCTTAGAAATGAAAGAAATGGCTCTGAGCTTGAAGTTTTCTCCAAGGAGGAAAACACTTCGAGACTGACGAAAGTAATTTACCTTCAACTTTACACTGCCTGAGACCTTGCTCTTCTCGGAACGAGGCTGTAAGGGGAACCAGTGCTCGATTCCATCTGGCGGAATATCCTGAAAAAATCATATACAAGTAATCATACAACAAAATGAAACTACGAAAGTTCATGCAAAGAACTCGGAAATACTCCAAGATCTCCGAGGTTTTTTAATATTTATCCCAAATTTTTGTCTCACACGATCCACCAAGTGGTGAGGCAGATTCTGTAAGTTAGACTAAACTGCCTGCTCTATTATCTAACTGTGAAAAAAGATAAAGTCACTATCTCGTGCCTCTCAAGCGATCGAAATACTACAGAATAAATTTTGAGATTCGTCAGATTTTGATTCCTTTTGGGTTTCCGTCGAGCCCTGAAAAACCCCTTTACTCACGCTGAGGTTCATGCTTATACATCCTAAGAAGTCGTCAGTGGTGTCATCGGAATCAGCTCGAGCACTTTGGGCCACTTCCTTGAAGAAACGACCAAGTCCCTGAAGAATACAGAAAGTGTCATAAAATCATGCAAAAATGGGTAATTGGGTCCGGTTACGAGCAATTCCGAAAAAATGTGAGGAATATGGAAATACCAGCGTGTACTGCTGCGCAACCTACTTTACTTGTTTTTCTTCTGAGGGGCTACCACGCTTAAGAATAACGGATGAAACGGTTAGTGTCTCAGCCTCTTTCTAAAATGAGCCAGGCATTCAACTGATACTCAGAATCGTAGTGGCTTCGGAAAGAGTACTTGCATCTTACAAGTACGAGCGAAGCGCAGCCGAAGGACAGATGGCTCATCGGGGGGTCATCCAGACGAGCCTAACTTCATTAAAGCGGTCCCCGGGGTCAAAGCAGAAATGTTCCTTGAATATGAACCCCCCGTAAACCTTCAGGACATCTGGCTCTAGCTCTTTAGCCCGAATCCTACCCGGCTGCTCCCCGCGTTTCCCAGAGAAGAACCTAAAAGTAAGACCGGAGGTTCGAAACACATTCAGCGGTTACCGAACGGGTAGCACCCTTTCTCCTACATGCGATTCGGTCGGCAATCTCGAATATTGCGCAACCTCAGCTTCACAGTCAGTTATCAGGGCGCTGTGGCTGTGACGATCCGAGGGTACGCCAACCGTAAGGTTACCTCACTTGCCCGGGCACCAAGCCCCCAGACAGGTATTACGTAACAGCGATCCAACAAACATATATAACGTCCCTGTGCAGGACTGACCATGTTGTTTTGCTTGTCATTCTATTCTATCACCCACTCTGGTCTCTTCCCCGTGATATACTTACCAGTCACTACCACTGAAGTCAGTCGGGGCGTGCCAGCAGGGTGTGAGTTTTGGCGCGGCACCAGTCCCTTCCCTACCACTCTTTCAACGCCCGAAGCCGCAACAATCGATGGAAAACGGGCTGGCGCCGCGTCAAAAACCAGCCACAGCCGACCGCAGCGATAAGGACTGTGGAGCCTTTTGTCATCATTTCAACAATTACACGTGCACTAATTTTTTTATAACCTTCGAGAAAATAGTTTACCTTGAACCCTCCAGTGATTTGATTCAGTGACGAAACAGCGTCCAAAACCGATTGCTCTTCGTCGTCATGGTCCCTTGAATTCAGGATTTTCAGTGAGAAGATTCTTACCACGCTAATCGTATGGGCGGAGCCACTAAGACCGCTAATTTCACTACTAGTGCACCACTACTTTCTCCCACTTTACAAGAAGAAGTCCGCAAATGAGAGCGGCGCAGAGGTCTTGTTAGTGCTTCCCTATAATTTCAAGCAGGTGTGTGACAAGACAATCGTAATTCGCCGCGCTGGTGGGCGTTGCGTGCGACGTCGCGCCGCAAATGACGATGGTTCCAGGTCGTAGATGGCGACAAAAGGCAATGTATAACCGAAAGTGGGCATAAAGTTCAAGAAATCCTAAACATGAAATCCGGTGCTTCAGTCGACATGCTAACGCAACTTAAGGCGTCATGCTCAACGCCGCGCGCGACGAAGCGGCAAACGATTGTCTTGACCCAGTCCCATATCAAGCATTTCCCATCGAAAATGAGCGGAAGGATAATAACTCAGTCTTTAGCGCAGTTTGCAGAATAAATTGTAGCATATATTCTTACCAGATATCCATATGAAACCGATCGGTTTGCACGTCATCGACGATGAACTGAAATCTCTCATTCCACTGGGGATTCAACGTTTTCCTTTGGACAGAGCTCGCCTTGATGAGTTTCGCAGGAATGGTGCCACTATCAGATCCTTAAAACCTCACCATTACCAAACTGTTCCAAAGTAAGTAGCTACCCAGTAGAAACATATCTTAGAGCCTTTCTTTCCCACTTTACGTCGGAATGAGCCGCCGAATCTATGCAAAACACTGTCTCGTTTCAGCTGAAAACGGCTATTTTGTGTTTTCGAAGATTCTTGTTTACTACAAGAGATCATATTAACAGTTTGGTGGACAACGTGTACCAGTAGAAGGACTGACCTGGTTTCGCGGTGATTTTCCTCCTTCTTCCTCATTTGGTTCAATCACCTCGGCCATTTCTCGTTTCCCCGGGACCACGCCCATCATTGTAAATGGGTCGCTGAATCCTGAAAATGTAATGACTCATCAAATTGCTTCACTCAGTCAAATGAAAGAGTGTAACTAATCATATAAAAGCTGAACCCAGTTGGAATGGTTTTTTCGCTGTTCGCTGTTTCTTTGAGAGCTACTTGTACTTATTATTTGGACCAAAAAGAGTAAAATAAAAGTAAACCAAGGGCACCCGCACCAAATGGTGATTTTACTTCAACCGGGGAAGATTTGCTATGCGTCAGAATTTGTGAAAAAGTTCAAGTGCCAAAAGTCTAACTTATGACGACGATCTACTAAATGTGCTAATTCCGCCACTGGAACATGGAGCTAAGCCGGCTTGCCCAATTGTGTATATCCACCGCCTGACACATTTAATTTCACGCTCAATTCTGGGGGTATTGTATACCTCTTGTTTCCCTGAACTTATAATCTTGTACTAACTGACTGTAATAGCGACACACGCCGTTCTAGAGCCTGTTCGATCTAGTCCCCTGTTCTTAACTAGTCACATCCCCAATTTCCGTGATATTCTTTCGTGATGCCTCATAGGGTGCCTCATAAGGCCTTTGAAATTCATTGTTATGCAGCTGATCCTGCCTATTTCGTATTCCCGTATTATTTTTGAGCAAACGAAGCATACACTTCATTCCACTTGTTAACTATTCATGGAATTTGCAGGCAAAGCAAAGCGTGCAATGTGGAAATGACGGTCAAACCTTTGTGGGCACGCCAAGTGTATTAATCCGTAGGCCGTATAGTTCACTTTACCTAGGTTAGCCAGATTACTAGGGTTGCACATATAGCATTTGTAGTTCAACTTTTGTTCTCCTATGTCCCGTGAATATGGATTGTCCCGTGAAGAACACGTACGAAGCTAAAAAGCGGACCTAAGGGCATATTATCAAGATGGATGTGATTTCCAAATGTTGCGCTTCTATTCAAGAATGGAGAGCGTTCAATTCCTTGAAAGTTGTCTAAAGGCTATTAACTTAGGCCATACCGAAAACTCTTGATAATTCGGGAGTTAATTCGGAATTTATTCAAAAACAAACGGTTTTGTGACTACATTAGGGTAAATATGTTTCTTTCTGTGGGGTTATTGCGAAATGCCGTCGAAAATACTGGTAAAACAGCAGCCAAATTGTATAAACATTTCAAAGAAATGTGCAGTCTGCTCACTCACCATTGATATCCTTTGCTATGAGATCTTTAGCCTCGAGCAGCAAGACATTGAGAAGTACGACCGGCGGCTGGAGTAGATGAATTTCAGACTTTCATTTTCAAATCCAACAACAATACACAAAAGTTGCACTGCGATTGAAGATCTCTAGATGATAGTACCTTATTTTGTTTCGCTTTTTCCATGAGTGCATTGTGTAGCTGAGTGTCCCCTTGAAAGGCGGCTCGCACATATTTGTAGAGATTTTCTCGACTCTCACATTCTTCCTTGCCGACCTTGTGCGTAATGGTGTACAGTGCCTCGACATACAGTGCCTATAAAACAATAATTTGGGGGTGAAAAGAAATATCAAGATGAACAATTCCGGTAAATATGGATTTTTGTTTTTGAAAAGGTGGTAACGTTTTTAGTCTGAGTCTGGTCGTAAAGTCGAATTGCTGGTCGTCAAAACAATTCGAAATGGTAAGTTTGAAGGTAAGCGGCACGATAAATCAAAAATGCTTACAGGGTCGATACGCCTGACACAAAACAATAATGTGCTCAATAATAGGCGTTGTGTGGCGTTTTCCCCAACAAAGGGTACCGTTATACCGTCTAGCCCAGGTGCAACGTGTCGACCCAAACGCCCACCACAACCGCCCGCCCACAAATGTCCGACTGATGCTGATGCTCGTATCGCTTTATTTGCGAAGTACAATATGAAGCGAAGGGATTGATATGAAGCGGCTGCGGTGCTGCATGGATATATGAGTACAACTATGCAGCCGTATCTACCGTAGCGGTTATTGGCACGATGCCAACGAAAAACTCGTCCGAAATTGCTTTCTGAGTCGTGTAGAACAAAGGCTTTTTTTGCAGGTTTTTAACCGTTTCACTTCGCTTTTTCGCCATTTCCTACTATGCAACACCCCTACTAACATTTTAGACCGAGTACCTAATTATCGTGCCTTATGCCTTTGAGCCAGTATCTGTAGCCCTTAATTTTTAGTTGTTCTCTTCCTCTGACTGCTTGTTCCCTGCAGAATTTTGGTATCGAACAAAGTGCCACACCTTGAGGATTGCGTGGGCGGAGTCAGGAGACGGCACCAGGGTATCGCTATAAGCCACCCTTGTGCACTTTTGAGCGGAGAAGTGGCGCAGTACTGCAGCTGCGGACCCATTCACCTCGCTCATAAACTACTGTCCTCGGAGGTGAGCGAAGTGAGT